TCGCTACCTATCGCTATCGAAAAGCGATTTTATGTACTAATTTGTGTGTAGGAAACGCTTTGACCTCACAAACCAAGATGGCAACCTCCTATGATTGGTTAACTTCGTACAAAAATCCACACACTGTAGAAGTGGCCTCTTGAAACGTCATCTTTGCTTTCTGATAGTGAAGATTTTTTCCGCTACCTTTCGCTACGTAGCATAACATAGCGCTCTTTCATAGCAGGTCGTTTCCCATGTTTTCACTTCGTAGCGATATGTAGCGATAGGCTTAGGCAATGGGCCCCAAGACATATAAAGCTATAAATGTCACTGTACTGCAACAACATAAAATAGATTCAAAAGTGAGTAAAATAGATAGAAAAACACTCACAGGGAGGGGGGATCTCATTTTTAGTGGAAAATGCAAAATTGAGCAACAAGTTCTGAACAAATGACAAAATCAATATTTACAATGAATAAATCAGATTACAGCCTTATTTAAAACGAAATACTTGCAGAAACCAAATCACACTTGTGCACCATATTTTCTTTTACTTTTTGATGTATTCACTTGCATTTTTGTGCTTTGGGTTGACATTCTGACATCAGTGAGAGAAATAAAGTACTTTTTCACTTATCAGTGATTTAGTCTAATTTAACTGATAAAGTATGTGTAATAAACTGACAGAACAAAACAAAGCAGAAATGCACATGTCTTTGGTCATTTAATAGGAATTTGAGAAAGAACTGATCACAAAATTTGACTATATGTGGGTATAGTGATCTAGTTTTTGACCCCAGATAACAATAAATCATCAAAACTTTAATCCTGACTAAGTTCCATTACATTTTAAATGAAACACAGTGCAAGAGCATTAACAATATTTTAACACATATGGGTATTATAGAGACCTTTTTCACCCAAATGATTCTACTAGATCATAAGAGCCTATGAATAACGCGAGCTAAAAAAATACATGAATCATACAACTACAACTAGAACTGCCATTATTATGGCTTGAATACCCCCGCATATCGCTTTGTCAGAATCAACAGTGGCCATTTAGAGCTCAAGGAGAATGTTTTTAGTGGCAAAGATCAAAGTGACCTTTACCTTTGACCTACTGTCCTAAAACTGAAACTGCCACTGCATGACTTAAATATTCCCACCCCTTCATGCAGCTTTGCCCTGGGGGTGTTTTATGATAAGTATATGAGAACATAATTATATGCTTCAAATGTGAAAATGTAGATGGAGAATGAAAGGTTAATACTCACAATTGATCTTTGAATAAAATTATAACAGGTAAATGAAAACTGCAGTTTAAAAATGGTGGAATGGTATAGCTACACCAAGTACAAAGTGGTCACTTTAATAGGTTGGTATCATATCAGTAATTATTAGTCCCCTACCGGTTTAACCGGAGGGGACTTTAGGTTTACCCTCCGTCCGTCTGTCCGTCTGTCTGTCCGTCTGTCTGTCCGTCTGTCTGTCAGTCTGTCAGTCCACAAAACTGGATCCCGCGATAACGCAAAAAGTACTGAAAATATTTTTATGAAACTTGATATATGGATAGATGGCAGTATGGAGATTATGCACGTCTTTTTTTTTCTTCCTATGTTGAAAATTCTGGTTGCTATGGCAACAAATAGTCTGAAAATATGGCAAATTTAACACATAAACTGGATCCAGTGATAACTCAAAAAGTACTGAAAATGTTTTTATGAAACTTGAAATATGGGTAGATGGCAGTCTGGAGATTATGCACATCTTTTTCTTTTCTTCTTATGTTGAAAATTCTGGTTGCTATGGCAACAAATAGCCTGAATTTCAAGATTTCTGATTTAAATTTTTCAGCTTTTTCACTATATGTTCTTTATTTCTTAAGGTGTTTACTTCAAACTTTAAATATAAGTTTCTGGTCATCAACCACATCATATGTGACAAGGTTTATAACTCTAGCACAAAAAAATATCAGTATTACCTCCTTTGAACTTAGATTTTTTAGGGGAAAAAATGTTGTCTTTTTTAAATAACTTCTTTATTAACTAATGTATCTACTTCAAACTTCATATATATGTTTCTTATTATCACTCGACATTTTTGAGAAGGTTAAATACTCTAGCAAGACTATTTCCAGAATTATGTCCCCCTTGAACTTAGATTTTTTTGAACTGGTATTTTCACTCCAACTTCTTCATTCCTTATAGGATTTACTTTAAAATCCCACATCGTAATAATATGACAAGGTTGTATAAACATAATTTCCTTACTAAGCATGGAAACTTAACACATTACTGTGATATAGACAAACTTATTTTATTATGTTTTGTGGTCGATATTTTCAAATACAGACTTCATCCTCAAATTCATTATAAATGGCAATACACAGGAGTGTATGACAATTAAAGAACTTTTTGAGGGACCGGTAGGGGACTACTGTATTGCCCGCAATACTATCAAATGCTTGTTCCTACTGGATCAAAGTTTACATAAATGTTGTCAATAACTCCTCCTTTCCTATGGGTTGGAGTGTTGAAACATGGTTGGAAATGATAGTAATGTAATAGATTGCTGAAATCTTTGCAAGTACTGTTGTGAAACCAACATTAGTACCAAATATGAAGACTGTGGGTCATAGGAATCTTAAGTTATTGGGCGGACAAGCTTTTTCAAGTCAAGGCCCCTGTGACCTTGACCTCAAATTCAATAAGGGTCATCTACTTATCATAACTCACCACCATGCCAAATATGAAGACAGTGGGTCATAGGAAACTAGTTATTGGGCGGACAAGCTTTTTAAAGTCGAGGCCCCTGTGACCTTGACCTTTGACCTGGTGACCTCAAAATCAATAGGGGTCATCTACTAATCATGACTAACCACCATGCCTAATATGAAGACTGTGGGTTGTAGGAATAGTAAGTTATTGGGCAGACAAGCTTTTTGAAGTCAAGGCCCCTGTGGCCTTGACCTTTGACCTGGTGACCTCAAAATCTATAGGGGTCATCTACTAATCATGACTAACCACCATGCCAAATATGAAGACAGTGGGTTATAGGAATCTTAAGTTATTGGGCGGACAAGCTTTTTAAAGTCGAGGCCCCTGTGACCTTGACCTTTGACCTGGTGACCTTAAAATCAATAGGGGTCATCTAATAATCATGACTAACCACCATGCCAAATATGGAGACAGTGGGTCATAGGAATCGTAAGCTATTGGGTGGACAAGCTTTTTAAAGTCAAGGCCCCTGTGACCTTGACCTTTAACCTGGTGACCTCAAAATCAATAGGGGTCATCTACTAATCATGACTAACCACCATGCCAAATATGAAGACTGTGGGTCATAGGAATCTTAAGTTATTGGGTGGACAAGAAAAAAATGACGGACGGCCGGCCGGCCGGACAAGCTGATTCCAGTATACCCCCCTTACAACTTTGTTGTGCGGGGGTATAAAAATACATGTATAAATGAGCACTTCAGGATGAACATCATGACCTCGTCATGAAAGCTAAATGAATATATTCTTTGACACAGAGGTGTGAAAAAATACAATAATACAGCCCTTCCTTCGACAGTCGTATAATAACACAAATGCACACAAAATGTCTTTTTCTATTCAATAATTAATTCATTTTCAGTGGTCTTTGCCTCTTGCAAAAACACCTCAATAGTTTGTCTTGGTTGCAATTATTAAGCACAGAAAAATAAAAAGAGGGCCCATGGCCCCCATAGGTCACTCACCAGAGCCAAAACATAGATATGAAACTGGGACTAGGTCCGAGGACCATCCTAGGCCTTACATGTTTTGAAAGAAGACAAAAACTAAATGTGAAAATTTTGATCCGTGGCTCAGAGCAAATACTGGTCTTTCAGACATTTTTAGCAAACTTGGTAGCAGACAACAAGATAATGCATCATACCAAACATTAACCCTAGGCATTGCAGTTTATTATATTTTAAATATTTTTGAATTATCTTAAAATACAAGTCTAAGTTCACATAAATGAATGTTTGTGTGGAGCCGCTTTGGGTCAAAAGAAGCATAAGCCACTGCTTTAAAGCTTCCTCGGTAACACAGTGTTTTATTTGTAAACGACACTGTGACAGTTTAGACCCTACAGAAGTTATATGAATCATAACATGTAATGAACTTTGGTTCAGTGGTTTATGAGATGCTTTCTCAAATACTAAAGACCATGGCAATTTACAACCTAGCTTACTTTTAATCATATGCTTCAGATTAGCTAAAAGTGAACTATATATTACTTTTTTCAGGGACCTAACGAAAATTTTAAAAGGAGCAAAACATTCTCATGTATTGAGAAAAGGGATAAACAAAGGGAAGGATTAACTTATTTATTCATTTTTTTTTTTTCATCAAGTTTTGAAGTTTTGCTTTCACAGGGTCAAAACAGTCTGTCCTTGTTTTTAATTTAAGCCTTTGTCTCTAAAAGAGGCCTGTATAGATGCCGATGATGGGTACAGTCTTTTTTCAAATAAATGAGATATGAGTACTTCTGCAAACAATCTAATCTTTTTTCCCCCTGTCCTGTTGACGACCTAAATTTAAATAAAAGAAAAAATCATTTTGTGAGTAAGTAATCACATACATTGTTAGAGCCTTTTTTGTTGTTTTAAAGGGGGTAACTTCAGTTTTAACCACTTTTGGTAAATAACAGCCATAAAAATATCAGTAAAATAAAACCAATGTTAAAACCAAACCAATAGAATTTTTTTTTAAACCAAAGTCATCTGGGTAAAAACTCTATTTGAATATTTTTTTTTAAAAAATGCTTGGGCAAGGCATGGGGCTTTAGTTTTGGGGATTTTTCCCCCCCCCCCAATTTTGGGGTAATTTAAATAAAAATTTAAATCCCTTATTTTTAACCCCCCAAATTTCCCCAAAAAAACCCAACCCCGGGCCCCTTTTTAAAATTAAATTTAAAACACTTTCCCACACATTTCCTTTTTTTAAAAATAGGTTTTGGAAAATTTACTACAAAATTGAAGGGATTCTTCTTCATCTGAAGAACTATCCAACACTGAAAAAATAAGGCTTAAATAAATACAAAGATGACTTCCTATGTAGAAGGAAAATGTTTTAAAGGAACACTTATACACAAGTGAGAAGTGTTGTGAATCCAGTATCTTAAACAATGAATGGATCACCTTCACAGGACAATATTATCATTCTATCATCCAATTACTTGAGACTCCTCGGACAAGGTTTTTGAGACTCTTAACATACAGATCTTTTTACGTTTAACACCACATCAACACAAACACAGCTTTCCTGGATCCCTATACTTACATATAATTCCACCATATGCCTCGTACATTGTACATATAGTGAACATACTGTAGTCAAGCCAGCCTTACATTCAGCCACACCAGTGACTGGAACAAATGAGACATACTTATACAGGCTATTTTATACAAGGCAGTAATAAGACAGAGGCCTAAATGTACTCTAGCTGAGATGATTTTAACGTGCACCCTGGCCAAGATCTGTAAGCTTAAGACCTCTAACATAATACCAATCATCTGTTCAATAAGACTAGTCATCACATTTATGAAAGATTTATTATTCATAATGAGTTCTCCATGAGTGTTAAAAAGCTAAAAAGGGACATAAAAAACCTACCTCGCAATTTTTTTCTTTTTGTAGCATATACAATGTCATCATCATAATCTGATTCATTATTACACTCCATATCTGAAAAGGAATTAAATCTTTTTATTGGCTTTACCACCATTTAACAACAGCCAGCATACTTTACATAACAGACCGTTATTCCTAACTAGTACTCGCCTACCCTTCAACATGGTCAGTAGCTTCTCCTCATACCTCATTAATGGAAAAAATAATCATTGTCCAATTTGAATAAAAATGTAAAGCTGGCCATGACTAATGGCAAACTCAGGAGCGTCTACTCCATAGAACAGCATTCTCCAAAAGACCACTTGATACACCATGAGTGACACTTCAATGTGAGACTTGATAATAAATCAATTATTGTTTTAAAAAATATGCCAGAGGGCAACATGTCCAACTTAAAGACAGAACAAAAACAAAACCATGTTCAAAAGAAAAGAATCAAATTGTGGCAACTTCAAAGCATTTGAAAAAGATTCCTAAACTTCTCATAATACAGAAGGAAACAAGAATCTATACATCACAAGAATGTTTGATATACCTGCAGGTTTATTTTTCTGAATGACTAAATCATCATTTTGTTCAGGTTTATTTGTCTGACTGACTGAATCATTATGTTGTTGAACACTTGCTAAATGTCTGTCCAAACATGATTCTTCAGTGTCAACTTCATCATTATCATCATTCTCTTCTATAACATCTTCAATGTTGAGGTCTAAAAAATCAAAGGAATTCAAATAGAGAAAATGTTAACAGTTGTGATTGAGGAGTTTACAAAAATATCAAATATATTATATGTAAACAGAAGTACATATACTCTATTTCATGAGATACAAGGCAATTGTAAGCATTAAGTTGATTTGTTTAAAGGCAATTTTAATGATTTTCACCATCAAATATTTGTAATTGATGAAATTATGTACTTTATGTTTGTAATTATGAAATTTTCTATCACTAATATTTTTTTAAAGCAATAAATATAATGAAATAAGATAAGAAGTCAACCTATATTTTTAGCCAATCAGTGCCTAAGAAAATTCAAAATTTTTAACCATTTATGTCTGTAAAATGTTCTATTTTGAACTGTAAGAAATGGATCGTCATATTGAAAAAGACAACTTTTAGTTAATTGCGCTTGCGCAAAATAATCACACCTCTTGTCTCCACTGCCCCCATTCTGAAATCACATGTTAAGAGTGTAACAAACAATTATGTTAGTCATTTATTGCCATGGACACTCAAAACATTTTGACATTTTATTTTATCACAGGTCCTTCAATTGAATTCCTCAATTTAAACAGTTCAAAATCATGGGTAGCTTTGAGTAAAACTAGAGCTATCACTGAAGGGTGATTTCATTACCCCCACAAAGTCAGCCATGACCTTTTGAAAAATAAGTTTTGGTGTGAAGAATACTTTGAAGTTGACTTATGTACCCGACTCAATCCCAAAACCGAGTCTGCAGTTTCTTATGTTCTTTTGTTGTCGATTAATGCTTCCCGAGGATCACTTTGTTTCCGGAATTTGTACATCACAACAGCAGTGGTCCCAAGTGCCGTGTGGCAAACCGTAAAAGTTGCCCCGTACTTTACTTCAGTGTTGTTATATTTCTGGGCCTTCGGGGATCATTTGATGCCAACACTATAAAGTGTTTGAGAAAATTTAGGACCGTCTTTTTACAGGCTTTTTTCTTTGGTTTTTTTGTTGTGAAATTAAAAAGTTCCCAGGGGTCACTTTTTTTTCCAGTTTTTAAGTTTAAATAGTTTTTTACTAAATGGGGATTTACGGGATATCCAAACGTTCCATTTTCCCGTACCTTTTCCAAACTGTTATCGTCCGGAAAGGTTTTTCTATTTTTTGTAAAAGGTGAACCCCTTTTTTGACCCCCGGGGGGTTTTCCCAAACCCAAAACCAAAACCCAGGTATTCATGCAAGGGGGGTTTTCTTTATTTTAAAAAAACCAAGGGGGTTTGGGGGTTTTTAAAAAAGTTTTTCCCCCATTTTCCTTTTGGGTTTTAAGTTATCGTCCGGAAACCCTGAAATGGACCCACCCAGGGGCCGACCCCCGACAAGCTGACTCCTATAACCCCCCCAAAAATTTGGGTTTTGGGGGTATAATGAAAATAAATTATTAACGATCTACCCCCAAAAGCGACAAATCATGGGTTTTAAGGGAAATTGAAACGTTCAAGAGTAAAAATTTACACGGAAAACTTAAACTAAAGGGGTGGACTATTTTTCAAGGTTTTGTATTTCAGACCCCCCTTTAAAAAAAATCTTTCCAAATTGGGTACTTCTGGCGAAATTTTTGCCCCATTTATAAAAAAGAAAGGGATTTAAAATTGATTAGACTTTTTGTTGGATTTTTGTTGTGGAGCCAAATTTAAAATCCCTTAATGTGCAGAATCAGGTTTTTGCTGCAGATTTTCCCTCAGCTGAAAAGATACAAATTTAAAAATTCTTTTTATTTTCAATTTTTTAATTTGGTGAGGTAAAAAAAATCTAAAAATTTGAATCTGTGCAAAAATTTCCCTTCTGAGCAAAGGGGTTTTTTCACATTGTGAACAAGGATCAATTTTTAAAAAAAGCCATTAACTGTATTAAAAAAAAAAATTTAATTTAATTTGGGCGGGTTTTTTTTCTTTCCCTAGCGTTCTGAATTCATTCAGCAAAAATTTTCCCCGATATTACGGGGCCCTTTGTTTTAAACTTTACTCATTAATTGGGCTTTTTCCCTTTGGGTGCAAATGATCAGTGGGAAAGTATTCGCTTACCTGTTATTTAAAATGAAAAGGGCCGTCAAAAGCCCCATTGTGAAACCCTGTGGGAAGGGGGCAATTCTAAATTTAGATCTATTTAATGTTTTTTTTCAAAAACCCAGCGGCCGGGTCTCGCATCGCTAGTTTCGACTTTTCCCAAAAGAACATTTAAAAAGGCTCTTTCTTTTCAAAGGAAATTTTTTAAAATCCGACTCGCCTTTTCTGATAAAATTAATAATTTTTGGTTGAATAAAAAATGCCAAGAAAAATCCGCCAAACAATTTCACCAATGCTGAGTAACCCCCTGTGTCGCCTTTTCAGACCACATATTTTTTAAATTTTACAAAAAAAATTAAAAAAATTATTTTCACAAGTTTTAATAAAAAACCAAGTTTTCAAAAATTTCAAGCCGGGAGAAAAAGAACGAAAAACTTAAGTAAAAAAACGTTTAAAAAATCAATAGGTATGGGTACTAGCGATTTCCCCAAATTTACTCAAAAAAATAAATGTTTAAAATTAAGGTTTTAAAGTTTTTAAAAAAGTTATGATTCATTTGCTTCACTGAAATTATTCTTTCTTTCTATATATTAGGCAAGTAGTTGCTGATCAAATTCCCGGGGGGAAAAACCTCTAATAGGCATCCGCATTCCCCAAATAATGCTGAAATTTAAAAATACAGAAATAGGGGCTTAAAAAGGGGTTTTAAAAGGCTTTTGTTACAAATTTTACTGACTTTTTAACCAAATTTTTTAATGAACAAAAAGGTATTCCGAGCAGTAAGGGTGTTTTTTTCCCTTTACATTTTTATTGTAAACCCCCCCCTGATATTTCGAAAGTTCTCCTTTATCTTTCGCCCTAAGTAGTCTCGTTGCCCCGTCCCTTTTTTGTTTGGGGGCCCCTGGGTCCTTGCCCTTGGTTCTTGTTCTGGGTCATTGGGGGTTTCGTTCATTTAACGCCCCCTTTCCCTTTTTGATTCTTGTTTTTTTTTTTTTGAACCTTTGGCCCTTCCCATACAATCCTGTTCTGTAAAATTTTTTGGAATGTTGGGGTTTGGGCCCCCCAAGATTTGATAACCCCTCGGTCTCCCAGGGATCTAATTTTCCCCTACCCAACATAACAAAATTTTTTTGAATAAAGGGCCTCAGCAAAGTAAGTTCGATTTCCCCAATAATTTATTCGGTTTTACAGTGTAAACAACATTTGCGGTCAAAAGGGGTTTTTTTTTTGAGGGGGAAACAGGGGGTTAAGGGGAAGGGTTTTAAGGGGCTGAGAAACCCAAACCCCAAAAACCAAAAAAAGTATGGGGAAATTTTTAAACTATAACTAGTCAAATTTAAAAATCAAATTGGGAAATTTTTTTTAAAAAGAGATGGGAAAAATCTGCGAGTGTGCCAAGGGTCAAAGCATTAAAAAATCTTTAATTTTTACTTTCAGGGGCCCTTTTCTCAGGAAATCTGGCCCTCAAACAAGGTGTGTGTTTTTAAAAAAGGGGAGCGTTTTTAGGAGGGGAATAACCCTCATGAGAAAACCTAGGGGGACGTATTTTTTTACAGGTGATACTTAAAATGCCCCTTCTTAAGGGGTTATATTAAATTTTAAAAAGTTTTTGTTATTATTGGGGGCAATATTAGGCCCTTTTTAACCCAAAAAAACAAAAAAACAAAATTTTGGGATTTAATTTTTCAGTTTAAACTTGCGCTGGGGAATTTCCGTAGGGTCACCCCTGGGCAGCGGTATTTGTTTCCCCCCGGGCGAAAAACTTTAAAAAATGCCGGGAAACGGTCACCCGCTGACCCCGGCCCGGTCGCTAAAAAATTTTTCCGCGGGCGGGTTTGTCTGTTTAAAAGGTTTGGGGGTTTTTTGTTGGGCAAAAGGGTTTTCCAAAAAAATTTTTTTCTTTTTCTGTTTTGCAAAAATTTGAAAGATTATCTGAAATTAAATTTTGAAAAATATTTTCCCAAATTTGTGAATTAGGCCATACTGCCGTAATTTTGTTTTCTTTCTAGTTATTGTCTTTTTGGGGTTTAAAAAAATTTTCATTAATTGTAAAATTTTCAACATCAAGTTGGCCCGGGGGGTTTTTTTTATATTTAAATTTTTTTTTTTTGACAGATAAAGGAAAAATTAGTCAGTCATTTTAAATTTTAAATTTTTTTGTTAATTTTATAAAATTTTAACCGGAAAAGAATTTAAAAAGTATCGCTTTTGCTTTTAAAAAAGGTTTTTTTCATTTTTTATATCGGGCCCTGCGGCCAGTTTCGACATGCCCGCTTCAAGGGCGGGTTTTTGGGAACTTAAATACAAATTTTTAAAAAATTGAGGTTTTTATAAAAATTTTTAATTTTTAATCTGGGCAAAAATCCGGTCCCTGTATTAATGTTAAAGGGAAGTAAAGATCGTGAATGCTAGAAAAAGTGCTTGTATTCCTTTTTGAAAAGGAAAAAGTAATTTCCCAAAATTTTAATTTGGGCTTTCTATCCAAAATTTTAGTATTGTACCCGTGTTTTATTTTTTGAAAACAAAGGAACCCCATGGGAAATAGGATGATTATATGAAGAAAAACGTTGGTTAAAAAAAGAATGAATTTGGGGATTTTTTTTTGTTTTTACTTTCCAAAAAATTATTTGCCCTGTTTTTAAATTTTATATATTGTATGTACCTTTTAATTTTTTTATATGATCCATTCCCCAAAAATTTTTAAAAAAAAAATAGCGGCCATTTCTTCCCCCAAAAAAAGGTTATGAAAAAAGGGCCCTTTTTAAAATTCCCCGGGCCCCCCCTTTGTTTCCCGTTTGAAGATTTTAATTTGGGGCCCAGATTTAAAGACTCTTTAAAAGGGGTTCACGATCCCCAATTTTCAGACAAAATACCTTTTCTCCCCTGCCAAAAAATGCCCCTTTTGGGGGCCCTTTTTTCTAATTCCCTTTATTTTGATCCAATTTAAAACGGTAACCCCTGACCAGAGCAATTTTCTACCCCAGCAACATATTTGAACAAAATTGGTAGATGACAATAAGGTTATGCAACATGCAAAATACGAAAGCTCTAGGCCATACTGTTTCTCACAAGCAGACGTTTTTAGGATTTCATATTTGTTACCATGGCATCCAAAATTCTACATGGGACTGAATTGTTTGAACTCACTTTGTAAAGACCAATACCAGGAATATCCCTAGAAGTTTCAGCATTACTTGTCTAGTGGTAAATCTGAGAAGAAGTTTTTTTTAAGTACAGTAAATCTTGTGCTAGTGACCACGTGTCCTAAGCGACCACTTGCTTTTAACGACCACTGTAAATTCCCCCCAAACTATTTCACTAACTAAATTGTTGTGCTAAGCGACCTATGTCTGACGCAACCAGTGGTCATAAATTTTCGGCCTAACAGAGTTGATCTTTTGTGTTTAACACAATTACACGTCATATCTTCACAACTAAAACTAAAGTCGCTAAATGAGAATGTGATTACTGTCAGATAAAGGTGTGAAAAATATGTAATGCTGTATGGGTACTGCA